GATGCTATTTTGGTGAAACATGAAAACTTGTCCTTCTTCCTTGGCATTTGCTTGCTTCTCCATGAAGCTTTCTTAGGATTTTTGTTCTCCGATTCTCTTTTCAGGTTAATTATTATTATCTTTTCAGGTAATTAGGTTTCGTGATAAAGTTTGCTGCTTTACACATCTTCTCAGATTCCTTTTCTCTTTTATCTAAAAAAAGCAACTTTTATTACATTTATCTCCCTTTTCCGATGGTATGGGTTTAAAGAGCAGTGAATCTCATCTTGCTTCAGAGTGAAACAAATTATGTTTGATTGCACTCTCTGCCTTTACTCTTTCAAGAGCTTATGATTTGCTCTCTTTTGTTTTCATTTAGTGCTCAAAGTTTGTTCTTGATGGTGGTGTAAAAGTTCTTTTTTTAGTTCATCATATTTAGTTCTTTTTTTTTTAGTTTGTTTTTAGGAGAATGAAACAACTCTTTCAGTAAGGCAGAAGAGTGATGCACGAGAAATGCAAAGTTTTTTTATCAACACTATTACAAGAAATACATCCAAGCTTTGCTAAACGCTGCTGATAAAGCTGAACGGTTTGTATTTGATCCAACTGTTTTTCAAATTCGTGTTCTCTCTACTGCAATCCATCTTTCTGCTTTTTTTTCGTTCACCTAATTACAAGTTTGTTTTACTTGTAGTGCTCAACTTACTAAGGCATATCAAACTGCCGCTGTTCTCTTTGAAGTCTTGAGGGCTGTTAATCAATCAGAAGATGTGGAAGTGGCTGATGAGGTGAATTGCTGATAGTACATTATATCTTGTAGTAACTCTTATTCTCTTCTTATGCGGTCTTTAGCCATGATGCCTTGGTGGAAACATCTTGAAATTCTCATGAACTGGGTTACCAAAATATGGCTCACTTTTTATAAGATATAATAGAAGAGATGATCTTATTACTTGACAGAAAGTCTCAATTTATACAAGTGATAGGAACTAGGGTAATCGATTTACATTAATAAAAGAATATATACTATCCATAGATGATTCCTTAATATGTGCAATCAGTGATGTGATTCTCCTCTAATA